CTAGTGCATTATCCAAGGTTTATTGTAGGAATGAAATAATAAAAACATACTCACAGACGAAGCATGTATCTAAAAAGCATAGAAAAATGACAATGGCCACAACGGCGGGCAAGGTGTTCTCACTGTCAGTGCAGTCAAATGGCTGACGCGTTTTGGGGACGAATCCCTTTCCTCAGAGCTGATGACCAACCTCTGATGCTGATGTATGATGAATGGACAGAAAGAGCCTCGCTGTTGATGCCTGAAACGCGTCAGCCATTTGACCGCACTGACAGTGAGAACACCTTGCCCGCCGTTGTGGCCATTGTCATTTTTCTATGCTTTTTAGATGCATGCTTCGTCTTTGAGTATGTTTTTATTATTTCATTCCTACAATAAACCTTGGATAATGCACTAGGTGTGTGCGCCACCTGTTTTCTCTCTTTCTTTTGGTGGTATTTGATCACGCTATAGTTAGAGTTACATAGTTAGTCTGGCTGAACAAAGACAAAAGTCCATCTAGTTTAACCATTAAAAAAAAAAAAGTTATAATCCTTGTCAAGAGAACCAGAGAGCACACAGAGACAGATTGCACAGAACCCACCGTGCTTTTATTGGGGAGGTTTTTGGGGCACAGACAACAGTTCCTTTAGTCCACAGATCCACACCAGACACAGCAACACAGTACAGTTCTCTGGAAGGCAATATGGAACAACAGGGGTATTGTAATCCACAAGGTAATCCACACAGGTGGCTCCAGGCAGGGATGGGTTAAGTCCAGGCAGGTTCACAGAGAACAAGGGGTTCAGTCCAGGCAGGGGATAGATCCTGCCAGGCAGATTCACGGGGACAGCAGAAGATCCCTCCACAGTGCAGGGATTCCAGGCAGCACAGACAGTCCGGGAGATGAGGAGGAGGAGGACGGGGGATAGTCGGAGGAGAGAAGCTGGCCCTCAGCACAGCCTTCCCTCACACACAGCCAGGAGAACACACGGAGGTTTTCCTGCTCACCCTTAAGTATAGAGCTGGTAACCGGATACTTCCTGTCGGGTTACCATGGCAACGGGTCCTGTCTCCCAGGTCTCCAGACCTGTCCAGGGAGCCCAGGAATTTGTGCATGAGGGGGAAGGGAGGAGATGGCCTGTGTGTGGATTCCTTCAGCAGGAGGCCAGGCTGCAAGCCAGGGGTGTGAGGGGCTGCTGAGGGCTGCTTGTGTCAGGGACAAAGAGGACTAGAAGTCCCAGCATGGATGGGACTGAAGGGTGAGGGGCTGCTGAGGGGTAGGAGGTGGCAGCCGGCAAACCTGGAGGATGGGGAAGGAAGGACCAGCTCCGTGACAATCCTACACCCACAGTTGATTCAGAGGAAGGCAAAAAAAACCCAGCAAAGCAAGATCTAATTTGCTACTGTAGAGGAAAAAATTCCTTCCTAATCCCCCGAGAGGTAATTCCCTGGATCAACTTTACCTATAAATGTTAGTATCCAGTTATATTATGTGTATCTAAGAAAGAATCCAGGCCTTTTTTAAAGCAATCCACTGAGCTGGCCAGAACCAACTCTTGAGGGAGTCTATTCCACATTTTCACAGCTCTTATTGTGAAGAAACCTTTCCGTATTTTGAGATTAATTTTCAGTGACACCAATGATGGGGCACTATTCCTCCCACACTTACCTTACTAGGCCCGGCACAGACACTTACCTTACCGATCAGCTGTCTTCCTTCTCTGGCCGCTCTCCTCTTCACTGGCTTTGGCCAGTCCCTCAGCTTCTTCAATCTTCGCGCTGCCGCTCGGCTCCATCTCTCCCTGTGTGCTTTCCCTGAGCTATAGGTCCGGTGGCCAATCACTGGTGAGGAGGCAGAGCTTGGAGACGGAGGGATAGGCTGCCATAGGCTGCCCAGTGATCTTGGGAGTGTGGCCAGATGAGATGAGGTGTGGCATGTCATCCCGCCCACATCGCGATCCCAGATCCAGGCAAATGAAGACACTGGACCGGAAAACCTCTCTACTCCTCCTCCAGCAGCGCCTCATGGACTGGATCGAAGTGGGACACGGAATTGCGGACACAGGTAAGACACAGCAGCCCCTGTCCTAAGGTCCCTGTCCGTGGGAAAAGGGGAGGGAGGGGGGCGGTGCTGCCACGCCGCCCCCATGAAAAGTGCCGCCCTAGGCAAACGCCTTGTTTGCCTCGCGACAAATATGCCCCTGGGCACAGCCCCACTGCATGCCAAAAACAAATTTTATTGGAGTTCTGCTTCAAGGAACATCACTGTGCTCTTTGCTGGCCTCTGCCACTTCTCCACTTTGTGGGGTTTGGCATGGTCGATTTGAAAATTATGTCTGGCAGGGGGTAGCAGAAAAGGGAATGGGCAGTAAAGTGGGTGGTGGCAAGGAATGGTCCAAAATTTAAAGCATAACTCCAGTCAAAAATAACAAGGTGAAAATGAATAGCCCATTAAAAGATAAAATAACAAAACCAGCTTTTGCTGCAATATTCACCTTCATTTCAGAGATTTCCCCCACAGTTTTCTTTCTGCCACTAAGGTGGCCTCAATCTGATATCCAGCATCATTCAATCTACTTCCTGTGAGCCTAGGTCACCCTGGACCCTCCCCTAACCCATGATTGGACAGTGAAAGGAGAAGCAGCACTGTAAAGAGCTCATCTCTGTGTCACTATGCTCTGTCCTCCTATCAGCATGCTTCTAATTAGCACATTGTGCTGATCTTCCACTCTCTGCCCAGCACTGCTATACTATGCATAGAGAGCAAGGGGCTGATACCTGGGCAGATTCAGATACTTATCCTTCTTGTATTTTAAAAATGTACTAATAAAGCAGACCTCCACACAAAAGGGGAAGTTCCGTTTTAAGGCTTTGTCTCCCACTCCCTGTTAAGAATTGGCACCTTTGGGGAGCGGGCACCCAAATTTGACAGGTACCCGCTCCCAATTCCGCTGCGATCGTCTAGGCAATCAGAAGCAGTAGTTGTCCTCCCCCTCCCTCCTCGCAGTCTTCTGGGAGACATGACAGGTTCCGAAGACTACGGGGCCATTCACAAAGCGCAGCGTTACTCAATGATGCGCAGTGGGCACCTGGCTGTGAAGCCGCAAGCTGTCACAGCTGGATGCTCTCACTGAAGATGCCGGCACCAGGAACACAGATGGCCAGTGGAACAGGCTATCTGTCCCCCTTTGTAATGTACAGCGCTGAGCGAACTATTGGCGCTTTATAAATACTGAATAATAATAATAATAATAATAATGGGGAGGACACTGCGGGATCGAGGGACGGGTGAGAGTCTGTTTTTTAAAAGTCAGCAGCTACAGTTTTTGGAGCTGCTTTTTTTTTCTTTTTCTATTCCCACTGGACCTCTGCTTTAATGAAGTATTAATACAGGACGACATTACCCCTCCCTGTCACGCCCAGCCATCCAGATAAGTACAATCTCAAGTAAATTGACTGTGTCTCTGCGATAGTTCACAGAGCCGATCATACTATCTGATTCTGTGCAGAATCAATCGATCAGATTATTACATGTGTATGACAACCATTAGATGGACTTAACTAACAAATTCAACTCCAGCTAACACTCTGTAACAGTTACAGCAACAGGTTTTTTTTATTCTGAGAAATGAATAAAAGCTGATCATTGTAAGCATTCTTATCAATGGGTAATGGTTTGTCTCAACCCTCTAACTGATACATTTGCAGCATAGTTTTTTCTGACTGTCAGGATCACCAGGTGAAAATAAAGAAAAAGCCCAAAAAGAAAGAAAACTAATGCAGCCATCACATCTAAGAATTGGTAAGCTGCAATCTAATGTGTCTGCTTTTGGGTTTAGCATTGCTTTAAGTAGTGGATGTTTACGAATTATTTTTGGAGAATAAGGGTATCCTTTAGTGTCAATATTGAACAGTGATTGTTTTATGACAGCTTTTAGCCCTACTTCCTGACAACCTTGGCACAGGGAACATATGTTCAGTAGACATCATGGCATGAACAGTCCCTGCGTGTGGTGTCATTTATTTCTGTCCCCTGTGAAGATCCAGGAGCAGCTTGTCCTCTCCGGTCACCCTGGTGTCACATGATGCCTTCAATGTGACAGACAAGGGTCCTCTAGTAGTCGGCTCAGTCGGAAGTGGATGAAGGTGACATCTCTGATCACAGCCTGTCCTCATTGTTCGTCCAAGCTGAACTAGAGATCGGGCTATGCACTCCCTACACACACACACCGACCATGACAGCAGTGTTTGCTGCACAAAAGGCTAGAACTCTGTGCGGCCAGTCTGACAGCTGCCACTACACACAGGGCTAGAACTCTGTGCGGCCAGTCTGACAGCTGCCACTGCACACAGGGCTAGAACTCTGTGCGGCCAGTCTGACAGCTGCCACTGCACACAGGGCTAGAACTCTGCGCGGCCAGTCTGACAGCTGCCACTGCACACAGGGCTAGCACTTTGCTGACAGCTGTCATTGCACACATTATGGATGACATGAGGAGTGCAGCAACAGATGATGACTTGACTCAATCCAGAATCGCAGAGCAGGGTTCACATAACATCCATAAAACAGAGAAATAAAAAAACTCATTGTACAAATCTAAGTCCATGTCCGTACAGTTGGTAGTGATCCTGATAGTATGGAAGGCACTCAGCCTGCTCTCTGTCTCTGCATTCTTCCCAGGCTATTAATATTTTAAGGACATGCTGTGACATAATGTTCTTCCCTCAGGACCAGATAACTTTATAATGCCCTTTAAATGTCCCTCTCAACATCAGTGGCATGGGGGTCTCCATTAGGCAATATGGCTGCCTTGCCCCCTATGCCCTCTGATGGGGGCCCAGCAGCCAATAGAAATGGGTGGTGGGGGGCCCACCCCTGGGGGATCAGGTGTCTTTTATAAAGAGGGCTCAGCCTGCCAGTCGCCCTATTTTGGCTGGCACAGCAGGCAAGGAGCTGTGTGGGGAAGGACACATTTGCCTAGTAAGGGAGCAGGGGCTTCATCTCAGCCACTTCCACCATGGGTGACCAAGTGATCAGCTTCCTCAAGGACTTTTTAGCTGGTGGGATTGCTGCAGCTATTTCTAAGACTGCTGTTGCCCCCATTGAAAGAGTCAAACTGCTGCTGCAGGTAAGACCATCCTTTGATTCTCCAATGGACAGAATGTGTGATCACAGCAGAAGGGATTGCACGGATATGGATTAATCTTGCCTGGATTTTGTATGATGCATGGATCTGCCAGGGCTACATCCCTGTATTGTGCAGGTTGGGTGCCTATTGGTGTAGGTGTGATTGTATGGATGCATTGGTAGATATAGGACATGCATTGTAGAAGGTCACATTTTATAGTTTCAGAATTAGTCGTTAATAGTAGAGCACATGAGTCAAGATGGGCAGTGACAGGATGGAGTGTGTGGGGTGGGCTCCTGGTGACATGGAAGAGGCAGCTGTGAGTGACTAAATATGGAAAGTGTACTCTGATCTGCCCATTGACTGTTTTTAGCCCTGACCTGTCACATGGCAGCACTGGAACACATGCCAAGTCCATCTCCCAGACACTCTGACATATAGCAGATCAGCCATGACAGCCAACCAATGGCAGACTTTTTATGTGTATCCATCTCGTATATACAAACCACACTTCGGTTACCTTACACCGATTGATATTAAATATCAATACCATTGGATTGTCAATCCATTTTGTGTCTGGAAATAAAAATGGGAAGATTTTTTAAATCTTTTAATGCACCACACACCTAAGCTCAGCACACATGTTATGATCTGATTGTACAATCCCCTTTATGGAGGTCATCTACTCTTCGATTGTATTATCTGATCAATGTGTGATTCATTCAAAATGATCAAATTGACAAACATTTGAATAAGCATAACTTAATTATTATTTAATTTACATCAGATTTATTCATAATGAGTCAGTCAGCCAAGGTAGAGAATTATCAATCACTTTTGCATCGATTGGCAGTACTGAGATACTTTGTTCATGAATTCTATTTTATTTCAAGTAATCAGATAATAAGATTACCTGGTGAAAACAGAGATGCAATCGGTAACTTGCAATCATATCGTCAATGGATAGAAATCCAATTCCTAGTGTGCGGGACGTCATGTGCACTATAGATCAATTATTCCTATCAGGAGAAATCGATAAAAAAAAAAAATCATCATCAATCAATCATTTATCAAAGTGTGTATGGCCACCATTACATCTACCAACATGTATTGCAAGGACATGTATAGAGTAGTATACAAATCGATAGGTTAGATTGGTAGGTGCTTATAATACATAGTTATGGTAATAAGTTAATTAAATTAAAATTAAGTTAAGTAAATTAAAAGTGCAAAGATTTTATGGAGAGATTGTAGCATATGGTGACCCTTAACAATCGTATCAATCTATCTACTTTCCTATGATCAAATTTTTCTGCCCAGAATGATCAGAATAATTATGATTTTTTTTCTCAAAAATCGATCGATAAAACAGTATGCATCTTTTCAATAATTACTACATTTGGGCATATTGGCCAATTCTGTGTTCAGATCATAACGTGTATAGCCACTATTAGTTTAGCAAGTCTGTGCTTTATTTTTGACACTAATATATATATATATATATATTACTATTATTATTTAATTATTATTATTTTTTATTATTATTATTATTATTATATATTAATAATAATAATTATTATTATTTTTTACTTTTTTTTGGGCAGGCCTAAGTGCATAAATAATTTCACTAGTATAATAAAAGAAAGGGGATTAATAATGACTACACTGGAATAACATGCATGGCACTGTTTATATACTGAGAAACATGTGTTGCTACATTTTATCTGTTTTCTTCAGTGCTGGAAAATGTATCAAAATATTTGTTATGCACATTTACAACCCTATTTAGTACACCTGTATGTATTCATGATTAGACTGTAATGTATTGCTCAACTTTATTAGAACATTCATTTTTGCCATCGAGTCAACTCATTTCATTCAAAAGTCCTTAAAATGTCATCCACATCTGCTGTTTGAATGGAATCCTAGATGTATTAGCCCCTTTCTGCCTACCCAGGTGTCCCTTTAAACAGGTCAGCTGGTCCAGGGGGTGGAAAGGATTGGTGATCATGTGACCACTTTCACAGTGGTGACATGATTAGAAGCAGTTTCTCCAGCTGCCGATCTCTAGCCCAGACTAAGAGCTGTCTTCGACAGGTCAGTGCTGGGAGCATGCAGTGAGCGGGTATAGACTCATTGGCCACCCAGCAAAGTGTGGGCATTAAAACCCAGCCTATGGCACAGCACATACTGCCAACCAGGGGCGGACTGACCATTTGGAAACTGGGGCACTATCCGAGGGCCCGGGGTCAGTAGGGGGCCCCATGAGATGCCCCTGGTACCTTTTTCATAGGCTTTTTTGAGTTTGGGCAAGGACACAGGGGCCCCATGATCCCCTATTGCCCGGGGCCCCATGAGTTGTCAGTCCGCCCCTGCTGCCAACCCCTTCCTCCCACACATAAACACACAGCATTTATGCCACGGGCCATGGTTGGGTCATTCAAAGACCACTCTCTTTCAGTTTCCTCATTCCTAAGGTTGGGTAGCATTCTTCTAGGAAGCATAGGTTCTGTAACCAAGTGAAGACCACAATACATATATAAATGTTGCGGTTCTCACGTGGTTATCAGCCATAACCCCGTATTTTATTTTTTTTTTTCAGCCGATGGCCGGCTTTATATTGAAAGCGGTCCTAGAGGCTCTTCAGCCATTGGATAGCTTTCCATAGCGCTGGGAGGGGACATTAAAACTGGCAGGCCCAAGAAATGATCCCATGGTTCAGCTGGCTGAAGATGGAGGAGATGAAAGATTCTATGATCTTTGATTGGCTCTATCATGATGGAGGACTGGAGCAACATCATGATGTCACATCCGGTCAGTGGCGGAAGTAAATACATTTTTTTCTTTTTTAAAGCAAAAGTTCAAACACATTTTTATTGATCTTTTGCTTTTAGGGTAAAGAAGAGATCTGGGGACTTTTTGAAAAAACATTTTTTAAAATAAGAGAAAAAAAAAAAGTATTGCCGCGAATGTTAGAGCAAAAGCAATAATTATAGTGCTAGACCCCCTCTATAACTCTGAACAGGTAACCTGTAAACATTTTTCAAGCGTCGCCTATGGAGATTTTTTAAAACCATAGTTTGTCACCATTCCATAAGCATGCACAATTGTAAAGTGTGACATGTTAGGTAACTATTTAGTCGCCGTAATATCCTATTTCATATTTTACCAAAAAAATTGTGGTATATCTTGTGGGGGGTTTTTTAAAATTCACTAAAGTGTGTTTTTTCCAAACAAATTGCGTTTGAAAAACCACTGCGCAAATACTTAAAAGTTTAAAGCGGAGCTCCACCCAAAAGGGGAAGATCTACTTTAAGGTCTGGTCCCCCGCTCCCCATTAAGGATTGGCACCTTTGGGGAGTGGGGGGGGGGGGAGGGGTACCCGAATTTGACAGGTACCCGCTCCCACTTCCGTTGAGATCGCCTAAGCATTTGGAAGCAGAAGTTGTCCTCTCCCCCTCCCTCCCCGTAGCCTTCCGGGACACGTGACAGGTCCCAAAAGACTACGGGGCCATTCACAAAGCGTAGCGTTTCTCGCACATGCGCAGTGGGTGCCGGGCTGTGAAGCCGCAAGCTGTTACAGCTGAATGCCCACACTGAAGATGCCGGTGCCAGGGAGAGAAGACGGCCGGTGAATCCAGCGGTGGTGAGGACACAGCTGGACCGAGGGACAGGTAAGTGTCTGTATTTTAAGTCAGCAGCTACAGTTTTTGTTGCTGCTGACTTATTTTATTTTTTTTTTCAGGCGGAACTCTAGAAAAAAATATGGATTTAAACTTGTAAACAAAATGTCCCAGAAAATGCTTGGTCTTCAAGTAATCCCAGGATATCCTACATAAGTGAATGAATAGTTAACTAAATACTTGTTATTTTTGGTACTTTTAATAATTCTTGATACTTGACAAAGTATAGTGCACCTTTGTTTGCTGTGTAAAGCAATTGCTTCAAGTTATCACACATATGAGAAGCTAGCTGTAGGGTAAACTAGGGGGACTACCAGTTGGAAGTATATAGCGGTACTGGAGTTTTATATCACACATTTATCTGTACAAAAACACCTACTTGAATGCAGACTGTGTGCATCCGGGATCAATCAGAGGCTCTATTTGCAGGCAATCGCTCAGATGATTGGTTACATGTGAACATCGCCTGCAGCAGGCATTGATTTGTACAGGGTAGAAATCTGACAGCCGCTGATGACAGCTGCTCCTGTTCACACACAATGTATGTTGAAAGTGTTCAGAACCACCAGCAAGAAGCTAGCCACCCCTTTGCACCCATGTGAATGCAGCCTTATGACCACACACAAACTGACCGCAGCTAATCAGTAAGTTTGTATGCAGCCATTACTGCATCCAGAGGCAGCATTTAGCCTCTTCTGAACGCAGAAACTATCTGCCTCTGGCCGCCCGTGTGAATGTAGCCTTAGCATTCAACAGCATTTTTTACTATAGTTTAAACTTTCAGACGATTTACACTGTTCAGCAAATTGTTCTTTTCATCTGTGAAAAACAGTGTAACAAGATTGTGTAACCTCCTGGCTGAAATAATACATTTTAGATGGGATGTTAAGCTTTTTCTCTATAAATGTTAAGCTTTTTCTCTAGTTGGAGAAATCATTGATTTTCTCTTGTTCATGCCACTAGTTTTACATGTCAAGGTATCTACTGCTTCCTCTGTTTTTGTTCCAGATAAATGAAGCTATCTTTGTTTAGCCAGGATCAGCATCTACTTCCTGGACTGAGATGGCTCAGAGATGACACCATTTGTGCAGTTCTTGGCTGAGTTCCCAAATGTCTGACACAGATCAGCCCCTGCTGCTACCTCTCATCTTGTGATTTGTTAAAAAAGTTACAATGTTGCTGTGTCATCAGTGGGAGAATGAAAACCAAGGAAGTGACCTCTCCTTCTAAAGGATGATGGTTGCATGGCTGTTAACCATAGGCCTCTTTCACATGGACGTTCCAATCGGGTCTGTCTGCCTATTTCTCAGGAGGACCCGATCGGAACCTCCACTCTCCTCTATGGGTCCGTTTTACACCCGCTGACATCCAATCCGATCCGACTCGCAAAAAAGGGACAGATGGAGATCTAATTCACCTTCCGTCCGTCAGATCTGGTTGGATGGAAACGAACAGGCAAATTTTACAGCCCCTTTATCACTAGAACATTTTTTGGATTTCAGTGCTGTGATAGTTTGACTGACAGTTACTTAATCATTCAACACTGTACCCAGATGAGCTTTATGTCATTTCTCGAGAAAGCTAGTAGTATTTATTAACCACTGGATTTTTTTATTTAAAGTGTTACTAAACCCACAACAGTAAAATCAGTCTGTATATGCAGTAACACGTGCTTGTCATACTCACTGTGGATCCTAAGGGGTTAATCCTCCACATTGTGTAAAAAGGATTTTTGATCTTCTCTGATCCTCCCTTTCTTCTACTGTCCCCAATCCAACTTCTGATAGAACAGAGCCTTGGGGGCAAGCTGCACATGTTCAGTTTGGTGTATATTGCTAGAGATTTTTTTCTTTCTTGGGAGAGTGCATGTGATCAGCACAGGACCAATCAGCACTGTCCAAACAGAGGGTCTGGGGTTATGCAGCCTCATAGGACAATCGGGGAGAATGAAAACTCCTCTTACAAGCTTTAACAAGTGCTCTGCTGGACACTGAGAAAAGTCACAGGACTGCTCTAACTGCTGATGAGAAAAGGTATTTAGCCATTTATAATTACTAAAATAATTGCATTTCCATGTAGCGTGTACTATGGGAGACCAGATATAGTGAACGCAGGGTGCTGGGTTTAGTAACACTTTAATACTATATAAAAATAAAAAGCCCAAATGTTGCAAAAGTTTCCCTTACTTTCTGTTATAAAGTCTATCAAATAAATTGTCTGTCTTCATACATTTAGACCAAAATGTATTCTATACATGGATAGATTGACGTCAGTACAACCAGCCTGACTATAGATGGATTGAAATTTCGATCCATCTATGGCCAGTTTAAATAGATGATGGTAGCTCTGGAGGAGATTTTATAGTCAGATTGTATAGTGTAGGGTCAGCTCTAGGCTGATCAATTCTTACCTCAAGATCAATTGATCAGAAATATGACAGTTTCATAACTTGATTATAATCAACCAGTCAACAACTTATTTTTAGAGGCCACTATACTTAGTGAATGAGTCATATCTTGTAATAGTTTTAGTTTGGGTTGTGCTGCTCCTTGACATTACATGGCTGTTTTCCTATGCCACTGTTTCAACCAGACTGGGTGACAATTTTATGTCTATGAGATGCTCATAGATGCTGTTGTCCATTATTTATCAAGGAAAGGTCATTGAACTGGTTACAAACCTTGTCTGAATACTATAGTTTTCCAAAATAAATGCCAGTGCTTGACCCTGCCAGAAGATTTCTGTGCCTCTGCTATGGCCACCAATAGATTATGACCATGGAAGCCATGGCTATCTTGCACCACATTTCTAGTAAACCTAGAGAATGTTGTCAAACTTTTCTGTCTCTGTTTCTAAGATATGACAATTAGTTTGTGAAGTTTTAAACTGTCAACTGAATCACCCCACACACAGAATGTCAATTGCCTATTTAAAAACGGTTATATAACCCCCAAGGAATTAATACAGTAACTACACATATCAGTCATTGGGTAACTACATTCTCACGCTGCCATGATCAGAATGTGGGCATTGCCAAGTGTCAGGATCATCTATCGTATGTGACACTTTAATACAAACTGGACATTATTCAATAACATGTGACCTGTTTAAAATACTTGTTATATGAAAATTTGTTTCTTGGCATTGCTGACCTCCTTCTAAAATGATAGTTACCTGGCTGTGTCTGGTTTCATAAATTCAGATTCACTGACCTAAAACAAGGATGCACCAAATGAAAGTCAAAAGGACATGCAGAATTCCTTTTCTATTTGTATAGATGCCCCAAGTTAGTGATCTAGAGCAGCCTTTCTCAACCAGGGTGCCTTGGCATTTCGTCAGGGGTGCTTTGGCAAAATGTCTAAAAATTGCCCAAAACTTGTATACAGGCCTGCCTTAGTTACACAAAGTCACAGGTTTTCATTGTACACCTTTACGACCTTCTAGCTGCTGGCATCCTGACAACCAGTGACATCATCAGTTGATAAGGAGGATGTCAGCTGCCTGCACAGCATCCTTGTTTGACCCTCCCCTGCCCCTCTCCATCAGTGCTGGGGTCACATTATCTCGGTGATGGAGAAAAACTGAGGGAGAAGAGAAACATGGGAATACTAGTCAGTACCAGTGTGCAAAAGTGTATATGCTTTGGAAGAATAAATCACCTAATGTTGGGTGTCTTACATGTGTGGATGTTGCTACGTTAAATAAATCTATTAGAATAGTTTTTTCACATTTTAGAATGGGGTGCCTCAAGACTGTCCATAATTTTAAAGGGTGCCTTGGGACTATCCATAATATTAAAGGGTGCCTTGACTGAAAAAAGATTGAGAAACACTGATCTAGAGACGGGAATGAAGTCAAAGAATCAGTGTGAGATCCAGGCAACTGTCATTTTTAGGACAGGTGAGCGGTGGCAGCCTATATATTTCTTTTATGAAGCAAATCTTTACTAAGACAAAAACATAGTGTGCCATTGTTCACCATTCCTCTTGAAAATGCTTGTTTTCTGGCTCTCATGCTGATGCAGTGACTTTAATACTTTCCTCTTCACTGACACGTGACAAGTATTGCAAATCAGAAGTTCTAGCTTCACTAACTACATGGTAAAAGAAATCAGCATGAACAGAAGGTGGTCAGTGATTGTAGCACCATACTTCCCAAGTACAGGTTTCCTTTAGGGAGAAAAGTAAAGTGATCAAAGGTGAGGTGACCTTCAAAAATAGAGTGCAGTGCATGAATCACATTTTAAACTAGTATTGAACAAATGAACATGGACATACCATGAATAAACAAAGGTTGGAATGTGCTCATACAGTATGATTCGGTACATAGGATACTTCACTCATTTCTTTCTTTTTTTGTCTTAGGTTCAGCATGCCAGCAAGCAGATTGCAGTTGAGGCACAATACAAGGGTATCATTGACTGCGTGGTCCGTATCCCCAAGGAACAAGGTTTCATTTCCTTCTGGAGAGGCAATCTTGCTAATGTCATCCGTTATTTCCCAACACAAGCTCTCAACTTTGCCTTCAAGGACAAGTACAAGCAGATCTTTTTGGGGGGTGTAGACAAGCACACTCAGTTCTGGAGGTTCTTCGTTGGTAATCTGGCATCTGGTGGAGCAGCTGGTGCTACCTCCCTGTGCTTTGTCTACCCACTGGATTTCGCCAGAACCCGTCTGGCTGCTGATGTAGGCAAAGGTCCAAGCCAGAGAGAATTTAGTGGCCTTGGAGACTGCTTAACCAAGATCTGGAAGTTAGATGGTTTTAAAGGTCTCTACCAAGGATTCAATGTGTCTGTCCAGGGTATTATCATTTACAGAGCAGCTTACTTTGGTGTCTATGATACTGCTAAGGGTAAGAGAAAACTATTGGTTCTTGTGTTGGCATTTTGTTGACAATATCCTGTGGTAGGACTATACTAAGTTAGTGTTACTGTTTTTTATTAAAAGGTATGCTGCCAGATCCCAAGAATGTGCACATTATCGTGAGCTGGATGATTGCTCAATCTGTCACTGCTGTAGCTGGTCTGGTTTCCTATCCCTTTGACACTGTCAGACGTCGTATGATGATGCAGTCTGGCAGGAAAGGAGGTAAGTCTCATAGCTAGAACTGTGTATTTCTGAAATACTAATGACAGCTCAGACACACGTACTTGTCAGTAAATGTGTAAAATTGCCTCTATGATGTTTGCAAAAAACAATAGCACATTAGCCAGAAAACAGACCAAATCTACTAATAATCACACTCCAATGAGTGAAATCGTCTTTGCTGAAATGAACATATCAGCGCATGTATGTAGTCTTTATGCAGTTATTTTTTTTTTTTCAGTCCATTTTTTTTTTAATTTGCATCCCATTGGGGTCATTTCCTTCCACATCTTGTCATGTATATACAACAAAAAGTGAGAGGAAATCCCTCCACAGGAGTGAAAATTCACCGTTTAGACAGTAGTTACCAATACACATGCCTCTAGTGGATTTTTCTTTTCATTTTTCATCCCTGGTGACAGTGGTACTCATCCAGACACAGCAATAAAAAAGGAACAAGCCACCCTCACCTCTATACTCAGCCACCCCCAAACCACTACATTCTCCTAAATCAAACTTTCAAACATATTCACCCCATCACTGAATTTTACCACTAAAATTGACCCTGGCACTTAACCATCAATCTCCCCCTAAGCAGTAACCCAATTCTTATAGTAAGCCTTAACATTAAAATGTAACCTAACAACCCACTTTCTAGCCTTGTACACATGGGCCAAAAATTGTCCGAAATCGGTCAGATCGGCATGAACCAGCTGACCTCCAGCCCATGTGTACAGCTGTCTGTTCTACAGAAGCCGGACTCCCTACCAGTTTCTGTCAAACGGGCATGCTGGAAAACCAACATCTGACCAGCATCCAATCAGTGCATCCATTGCTGATCAGTGTGCTCTGGCAGTCAGTATACAATAGCACAGCAGGGGCTGAACAAACAAAAACTTTTAGTGTGTGCCTAGCTTTAGACCCATGTCACACTAGTGATTCTGTCACTGGCGACAACTCACTATCAGGCAGTCAACTCGCTTTCTCCTACAACATTCCTCCATCTCTGAATCATCTGAACTAAGGAGAGATGCTTGAGTTGATACTGGCAATGGCCTGTGACATGGTCTTTCGTCCTATTCACAGTCCTCTGACCCTGAGCTAAGCACCAGCACCTTCTATCTAGACCATACTTAGATACCAAAAATATTGGCACATCTGTGCTGAATCGCCCATTTCCTGCACTTCAATGAGGGCAGGGATGTTGATATTGAGATTACCAGATGCTTTTCAGAAGTTTACTTTATAAGTATCTTTTTTGTAAGCTTTCATACCATAAACATCTGAAAATCATAGACTGATGTGTTCAATTACCATTTTTTAAAATTATTTATAGTGACACAAAATACAGCAAGTGCATGAACAAATAAGGCAAGGAGTCTCCTATCAGAATGACATCAGTCGCTGTTGGGGGAGGGGGGTAGAGCCCAGTTCCCCGCCAAAGAGTTCTTTTTTATATAATGAGGCAGACAGAAAAGGAGGATATAAGTGGAAATATGAAGAAAAGATAAAGGAAAAAAAAAAATTGGGGGGCAGGGAAGTGCAATCCTGCACAAGTCATGGACCCTCTGCTAAGCAAGACTGGACACAAGGAGCTTTGTATACTTCTCAGAGAATGTAAATTGGGTCCAATAGAACTACCCTTGCGAAAGCGGGCCTCACTGAATTGGGGGGGGGGACTTTCAATGTGCTGGTATGCAGGCCTTGGTCTTGTTGAAAAGATGTCTCACAAATGAAATTCAATATTTATGTTTTAAGAGCAACCTGAGGGACAGGCGACTTGGTCCTGTTCTAGGGAAAGACCCCTGAGATCTTGGATCAGTGTGCAGACACCTCACCAGAGGGGGTGGATCCATGGAAAGGACCAAAAATTGTGTAGGAGTGTTCCTGTGGCTGTTCCGCGCCAACAGCAATTGGGGTTTACAGTGGGAAACATGCAGTGTAACCTCTTTCTGGGACCCTATAACACCTGGAGAGTAGCGTCTAACCGGTTCCCTGCAGTCTTGATGAGACGAAAGATGTGTGTGAAAAAGAGAATAAACTCCTTTTGTTCAGGTGTTCAGTTACTAATACTTTATGAATCTGAAGTCGGGGACAAGCACACATTGGTGTGCACTCTTTTGTTCTTGCCTTCTCTTAGTGTCTGTTGGGAGAGACTGTAACCAGAGTTCCATCTGCCACTTCACTTCAACTTCAGTGACGTAAAAAGCATCGAAGAGATGCTGGGACTTTGATGTGAAAGTAGTGAGAAGACAAAACAACAGACAGGGCTACCCTCCAGTGGGTACCCCAGGAGGTTACCAGAAAAAGAACATGCATTGATGGTAGGAGTGCCAGATAAAAGAGTTCAAATTCATTAGTTTACACTAAAAAACAGACGTGTTTCAGGTCAGAAAGAGCACTCATCAGGGCTTCAGTTAACATAAGAACCTTAAATGGGCTCAAAATAGAGCTTTTGCTAATTCAGATAAAGGGGGAGTTTTTTTTTTTTGGTTTTTTTTTTTACCCCCTAAAGCACATTGGTTGCTTTTTAAAACAAATTAATAAATGATTATTTGGACACTTTTATCCTTTGGCCTTGCGTCTCCTTTTTCTGATTTGACAGCTTTCCTCCCAATTGAAATATACGGCTAACAAGAGGTAGGGTCTAATGACTATGTCAGGGCATCTATTTGTCCATGAAGTGGCAGCCGTTTCAGATGTTAGCAGAGAATTTGCTACATAAATGGGTGCTGATTTTGTTCTGTAATTATACTGCATTTCTTAATTGCCTGTATCGCCCTCTTCACAATATGCTTTGATGTCTTTGCAGCTGATATCATGTACAAGGGAACAATTGACTGCTGGAAGAAGATTGCTAAAGATGAAGGATCTAAAGCCTTCTTTAAGGGTGCCTGGTCCAATGTATTGAGAGGCATGGGCGGTGCATTTGTACTCGTACTGTATGATGAAATCAAGAAATATGCATAAATGAATAAACCTGTTTATTTAACCATTTCTAAATATGTTGTGAAGACTCAGTGACGCATAAGGTTTCAGGGACACAAAGCTGTTTCCTAGGGAAATTGAAAAAGACATAAGGGGAGATATGCAACAAGCAATGACATTTACTGTATAGTAACACTTTCTCAGCCTCTGACATAGGTTCCTCCATGACATAGTCCAGTGAGTTACATTTAACTCAGAAATGCTGTTAAAGATAAATCAACATCATATACAAAGTGATACATGATTTGGGGTATGTCACTTGTCAGTTGCATTCAGCAGGTTGGTAAGGGCATCCACTGAAACTTGTGCGACGTATAAAGAAGTGTAGCTATGTACTTTATAAATACGGGAAATAAAATACGTATGTCTAGCAAAGTCTATTATAACTGTTACCTCCAAGTACAATAGTAATAATTCCTCCCTGTTTACATAGGGTTGGACGTCAATAAACACTACACAAAAAACAAAGCTTTGTATTTTTTATTTCACATTTTCCAGACCAAACTAGCTCACAGATCTGGGAGACTCATTTGAGTCAGTGTATATTTTTATACTGAATTTATGTAATGCATAGACATGAGTTAGTGTCAAGGGTATATTACAAACCAGGAATTGATCTCTGCCCTGTATAAATTATGTGTAGCAGCACTAAGTAAATTGCTGGTGGAAGACTGCAAGAGATCCGCATGGTCATAGACTGCTTCCTCTCCAAATCCTCTCCATGAAATGTTAAATGTGATTTTTAAGGATGACCTCAGAATGTGGCAAGGGGCTTTGGCCTGCTTCAAGTAGGTTCTGTTTTCCACAAAAAAAAAAATGCAAAATACACTAAAAGCATGTCCAATGCACACCACAAGGAGGCCAACTGCAGGTTAAAAGCCGGCCAATGAATTTGTTATGCTCTCAGAAGCTGTGCTCTCTGCAGAATGACCCGCATTTGGATTGCGTTTAAGAAAACCTTTGAACATGGTGTTGTATCATTCACTCACCACCTGCTTTAACCCCTGGAACTCCACACTAGCATGCAGTTGTAGGGTTATTACAGGGTACCCCCATTTGATGGAATGGGTCATGTTCAGAGGGCAGTACTTTCTGCTGAATATGAAGGCGAGGACAATTTTTGCGGCATGTGTACATCCCGGCCCCTGCTTTTGTTGCATAAGGAGGAAGCAGTGAAACCATGGCTCAACCATATGGTTTTACTGCCCCCCCCCCCCCCCCCCCCCTTCAAGGTTAGTCTAAACAAGGCCTTATAGAGATCCAAAATAAACTCTGAGATGCCAGTGCAAGTAGGATCACAGGAAAGCTTCTTTGTGCTGGACAGAAAATGGATTGCAGATGTGTTCCAAAGGTCTTGCACCCCCTTCATCAGGGCTGAACAAAACAAATCAAGCTGAGTATTCCCAAAAACCAGAAACCCATGAATAAGGGATAATGGAAATACTGTACATGATTCTGGATAAAAGCAGCAAACATCTTGTAGACTCACCCATAGGAGGACAAGTAGTTTACAAAACGAACTGGCCTGTCCCTAATTGTGCAAGTGGGGTGATATATGCAAATGTCAATCACTCCTGTCCAATTTGCGGACCTTAAAGCGGAGCTACAAAAACTGTAGCTGCTGATTTTTAAAAAAAAAAACACAATTACCTGTCCCTTGGTCCTGTGGTGTGTCCCCCCCGCAGCCCATTTCACCAGCTGTCCTGTATTCCAGAAGGCCAGCATCTTCAGTGTTGGCACCCGGCTGTGATAGCTTGCGGCTTCACAGCCAGGTACCCACTGCACATGCGCAAGTAGCGCTGCGCTTCATGAATGGTCCTGTAGTCTTCTGGGACCTGTCACGTGTCCCAAAAGACTACAGGGAGGAAGTACACCTTCCGCTTCCGATCAGCTAGGTCAGGGGTGGCGAACAAGTTAGACACAAAGAGCCAAAATTTTAAACTGTGAAAGTCAGAGAGACACACCACGCAGTGACCTGCCAAAACAGACAAACACACACAAAAACACATAATTAAAACCATATTATTCACCATAACACTTTCTTCCCCTTACAAAACACAGGGATGACCAGAGACTGCGGACAGCACAGGGATGACCAGAGATGACAGCACAGAGACTGCGGACAGCACAGGGATGACCAGAGACTGCGGACAGCACAGATGACTGCTGACCTTTGGGGAGGTGGGGAGCGGGTACCTGAATTTGACAGGTACCCACTCTTACTTCCGCAGAGTTTTTGTTTGATCTTACCTGTTCCTCGATCCAGCCGCACGCTGTCTTCCCGGCTTCTGTAATGGCGCTCGACATCACAGCCGGGTGCCCAGCGCGCATGAGCGAGAAGCACTTGCGCTTTGTGACTGGTCCGGCGGCTTCTGGGATCTGTCATGTGTCCCAGGTACCGTCTTACCATTCACAAAAAGCACCGCTTCTTGCGCATGCGCACTTGGCACCCGGCTGTCATGCCCAGTGCCCACACTACAGAAGCCGGAAGACAGCGCGCCGCTGGATAGAGGAACAGGTAAGATCAAAGAACAAAGAAGAAGAACAATGAAACTTGGCAAAGAGCCACAGTATACAAAATATGATAAGAGGCAAAAGAGCCGCATTCATTTTGGCCTGACCTAGGTGATCGGACTGGAAGTGGGAGCAGGTACCTGTCAAATTCGGGTACCCGCTCCCCCCGCCCCCTTAATGGGGAGAAGTCCTTAAAGCGGAACTTCCCCTTTTGGGTGGAGCTCCGCTTTAAATTAGGCAACATATGTCTCATTGTGTAGAAGACACCTATTATGATAAAAACATGGAGGCTGCCATTGCTAACTTCCTTTTCTAAAAACGTAAATTTCCTTACTGTCACGATGATCCTCTTGCGTCAATATTTTGAGCCTCTGACCCTGAATCAAACGCTCCAGCATGACCCACTCCATTAAGTATAAAGTTTCTGCTCCTGATCATATCTCTTCTGATAACTTATCTAAGCTCGGTCGATGTACACTTGGAAAAGATTTGCTTAGACATCTGGTGGGTGTAATTGAACCAAAGAGAAATGAACAGGAACATTCTATATCGTGGTTATAGAATATTGTTAGGACTAAGGAATACTTATGTAGATAAGGAGCCCTGACTCTTAATCAAAAGGTCAGTATAGCAGCCAGGGAATTAGCATCTTCACAAGAAGATCAATACTGGCAGTTGCTATATTTCGCATAGGTTTACTTTAACCATTTTTCAATTAGGGTAATTTTTCACCCATGTTATATTCTACATCTTTTACCAGATAATTACTTGTAAATTAACGAACTTAACGTGTAATTAACTTGATAATTACTTATATTTTCTGAAAGCAGAGGCCCTGTAGAATAAAACAGAGGCAGTTGCAATTTTTATGTTACAAAATGTATGCACAACTGTTTCTTAAATGCATATTTTCAGGAAACAATACAGTAAAATCAATTTAGGGGCACATAAACAATATAGTACAAAACGTATTGTTAAAATATAAAAGATTGGGGCACAATTGTCCATAGGTGATGTTTTAAAAGTCTTTACAGGTTATTAGCTTTATGAGTTTACCATGAACTGTAGCTCCCACGCCAACGCTCACAGCGATTCCTCACATGTATGGCTCAATTTATGTTTACATACACATGTATAAACAGTTTGCATTTGGGTGCGTACAAAGTGCATTAAACTTTTTTATATTTTTTATTTTTAATTAAAATATATTTTTGAACGCTTTTTTTTCCCCTCCATTTAACTTTATTGATGCAACAAGGGGACTAACAAGCTCTTACATAATAGCAATGAGCAGATGACAGGTGCATGGTGCTAAATCTGGTGCAGCACTGTATAGAAACTAATCAATGAGGGCATGCAAAACACAGTATAAACCCTAATAGTGCAGTATGTTCTTAAGTAGAAATTTAATAAAAAAATATATTGCACTTACAACTAATTAAAACAGAAAGCCGTCAAAACAATCCAGGGGCTGCAGTAATCCGTGGCCCCGGACAACGTCAAACATATGACAAAATGCATTGGGTGGAGCCTAATGTGACATCATCACGCTAAGCAGCCACCAGCCAGAACGATTGTTACACGTATTGTGATTATTGCTGCCCCGGGATTGTTTTGACGGCTGTTTTAAATTAATTGCAAGTGCAATATATTTTTTATTAAATTTCTACTTAACATACTGCACTATTAAGGTTTCTATTTTGCATGCCCTCATTGGTGGGAAGCGAAGTCGGAGTGGTATCGCAAGTTGGAGCTCTGTTATGTCATTTCTTGTGGATATGTTTGGAGTTAACCCCTAAAGCGCTGCTGGCTTTTCATTAGTTTGAAGGCCCAACAGCTATGGTAAGAGCTCCTACTCACCTTTGTTGTCACCAGGAATTTTGAGGTGTCACTTCTCCCTCTGGTCTCATTGGATAAATGGGTTATTTCTTTTTCTCCCTTTGAAGGTGGAAGCACTTTATATTGTGGGTTTAATTTGAGCACTGATAGTTATGGTGGACTTCACTTTATCATTTTCTAGCACCAAGGTTTTAGCACTGTACTTTCTGTATTACTTAATCTGAGGTTTCTGTATCTTTTACCTGTGTCAGCTGCTTTCACAGTTTTTTTTGTTTTTTTAAATCCAAGCACGATGTAGGTGAAGTCGTTGAGGGCCTACTCACAAGCCAGAGTGTCAGAGGAAGAAGAAGAGGATTGATTTCGGTTTCTGGGTACAGGGTACTGCAAATCTAGCATAGTGATGGAGCCAGAGATTGCTGGTCCCTTTCACTGCCCCCTCTGCGCTTTGAACCCAAGCAAGAAGAAAATTGAAGAGAAGATCAGGGGCTTTGGTGTCACATGATTACAGGTTAAGTAAGTAGGGAAGCTATGAGTAAGCGCTAGCATAGCATGAAACGTGTTAGCCAGTTACCTCACACCGCTGCTGCTTTTCAAATGTTTTTACCTGTTTTGATATGAATCTTCTATAAAGTTGGTGCAGCCATCTGGACTTCTATTCACATTATACATCAGCTGCCAGCTGGGCCAGCACCTGTTTGTGCTATTCGGTGGAGTATTTGCTGAATGACCTGGAGCAGTATTCCTTCTTCCAAGTCAAAAAGGGCATTTTAATTTGGGGATTTTATTGTCGGTTTGTGACCTCATTTTTTTCTGACTCATTAACTTAGGACAAGCATAAAGATTGAAAAGTCAGGGTGAAATCCAAATTTCTGATCTGCATACTGGTTCCTAATCAGTGCCTCAAAAAAGCATCAAAAGCAAAAATACCAGGAACTAAAAAAAATAATTAAAAAAACGTAAACCGTTAAATATGATATACATTCATATCCATTTACTTATACTAGCAGCATATGGATTAAAAATATTCATGGTTGATTGAGAGAGTTCTCCTTTAACCTGCTGTGACCAATATGTGTTATTTTAAATGCAATGTAGTCAGCAACCTTTAAGTAGGGTTTCAACCAATAAATGACCCAATTATTGCTCCTCATAATATTCAACACCATTTTTTTTGTTTATTATTGGTACCCCTTATCTAGGTTAGGTCAACACATCTGATAAGCAGCCAATACGTTACCATTATTTAAATAAACCTGTCAACAGAAATGCAGGTATTTTCCCACCAGTTGCCTGGTTGTTATAATTACTTGCTGGCTTCAATACTTTAAAGTAGAGTTCTACTCAAAAGTGGAAGCTCTGCTTGTTTGCCTCCTCCACTGCCATCTTTGGCACCTTTTGGGGGGAGCGGGTACCTGGTTTTGACACCCTCCTTCCTCCCGCAGACTCCTGGTAACTTTCACAGGCCCCAGAAGACTGCCGGACCAATCAGGATGTGCAGTGCGACTCACACATGTACAGTGGGCAACCGGCTGTGAAGCCACAAGCGGTCACAGCCTGGTGCCCACAATTGAGATGCCAGTGCCCCCCCCCCCCCCTTTTTTTTTTTTTTTTTTTTTTTACTTTATTTGAAGTGCACAACGTAACACTTCATGTCACCACACAAAAGCACGGTGCATTATACTGATGCCTTCCCGTGCACTGCGATAAAATGCAGCACATTTGCAGTTAATCGCAACTCAATGCACCGTATCTCCAGGCTGCAATGCAGTGTGAACAGGGCACATAGAAATCCAATTGTTTTCTAGATGCCCAAACGGTGACTGACATTCCCTTCAGTGCAGAAAAATGCCAGTCACTGCACTATGTTTGAATGGGCCCATAAATTCAATATAAATGTATTGAAAAGGAAAGTATTTTATTCTATCTGATCAATAAGCGAAAAAAATACCTGTTGTTCTTGCTAGAAAATAAATGAACACCCTTATAAGTTACAATGTTCCATGCAGAACACCCCCTCCCCCCAAGTTATGTAGAAGAGGAGAGGGGGTGGTGTTCTGTAATCCTGTCCTGGAGTAATAATACAATACAATAAGAGTGTTGTCACCCTTGGACAGGAAGCGTATTAATGGAAGAAGATTCACCTAAAAATAAAGTAAAATGGTCTTAATAAAATAGAGAAGTAAAAAAGCCACCAAATAAAAGGGCCGGTAAGCTGCATTAAAGTTAGTTACATTTTTGTCTTAGGTTTAGATACTTCAACTGGTTAGAAATAATTCAGTTCTACACACAGCTATTTAAATAAATTCACTTTAACAAGAGATATGAAATCATTGGTAAAGAATAAAGATAAGAATACAAAACAAAAACAAGTTTACAAACTCATAATCATCAGATTTTTTACATTCTAGAGGGAAATAAATAAAGTAGTTTGGCAACTGTCTTTTCACACAAAAAAAGGGAAAAGAATAAGATGTAACACATGTAACAAAGTGATACCTGTAATAAATAAGTGCATTCTGGAAGGACAACCTTTTAATAATTAAAATACAAAATAAATAAGCCTCAAACCACATCACATACTTCGTAAGACAAGGAATGTCACGGTAGCAGCAAGAAATGGTAAAGCCCATCTCTAGCCAAAATGTTTATGGAAGAGTTAGAATCTGTCAGTTTTTATTGCTATCTGCATCCCTTATCTGGGAGATTTCCCTTCACTTCCTTTAATGATGCGAAATCTCTTTTACAGGGTCACAGACAAAAACAAACACATTTTTTTAGCAGAGTTTGGGAAATTACAACTTCTGGCAATGTTTTCATTGCCGTCTGTGCCTTCCTGCCTAGGTGACAACCAACCGTTCAATTTATTGTACAGATGCTTTAAAGGGACAGCAAGTCAGAGGAAATCTCACCAATGGGATTGCGGACAGGAAAAAAACCCAAAAAACTAACAAGTACTGAATTCTTCCCTCCTCGATTCTAAACTGAAAAAGAACATTTGGCTGGAGTTAGGCTTTAAAGGCAACTTGGTCACCAGAAAAAAAGAAAAGAAAATTAAAAGGCACTCTGTAAAAGAAGAATTCAAATATGTAGAGATCTTATGGGTGGTGACTCCAATTGAACTACCGACTGAAAGAATGAAAAGACTGAAAGAATCTTCAGCACCCGACACTTCCAGCATCCTCCACTGCACACTGTGGTTTCACATGCTGGTCGTCACGTCACTTCAGCTTTGCAGCAACGATGGAGTCACTGGTGGCTGAAACTGCAGAAGTGTGCTGGATGCTGAAGACTCTTTGGCTAATAAATATTATAATGCTTCTTTTTTAGGGTGCCAGTTGTTTTATTTTCCGGTGACCTCACTTAAAAATTACACCAATTTACAGGAGGACCTCATAAGAATGCTGGGGATCTGTGGAAACAATGGCTTGTAAGCATCATCACATCCATGCTGCTCGTGCATTGCAGGATTTAGAGGGCCGCAGTAAAGCGCCACTACTGCCCATGCGACCAGTTCGACTGCTGGCACTCGACACCCTTGAGAGCCCACCTAAAATGGAGATTAAACAAACAAAAAAAAATATATATATATGAAATGACATTGGTTAATACCATACATGATTTAAGACAGATTAGAATTCACATCACTTACTGTCTCAGAGACAGTGGTCAATAGGACATATGGAAAGGGTGAAACGCCTGGGCAAGAAAACAATCAGTGACCAGAACAGGATCTGAGAGGAAATTTTCCATGAAAAAAAAAATATATATATCATCATGGCAAGGGTTTTAACCATTTCTTACGTCATTCCAAACTCAACCAAAGTCTCTCTCGCACTAGGTTGTATATCGCTGTGTGCACACATTACTGACTATGTAACCTAAGTCATTTTTTGGCTAATCCTACTCTTTAAAGCAGACCATAACTCAAAGCTGAACTCTGGTAAATCTACAAAGCATCTCTGCAGTAGTCACAGAATATTTTATTTGTAATGGTCTCATTGACAGGTCTCAGTCTCCTAAAAATCCTGTTTGTAAGACCGATGTCTGCTATCCTTTCTCCTTGAGTATGACTGCCAGTCAAGTAATTGGCCCTCAGACGTTTATTCCGAACCATCATGAGGTAAATACATCACTCCTGTGAGAGGTTCTGGTCTCTCCCTGCCATTCTGCCTGCATAAACTTACAGTTTATGAGTCTTCAGGTCTGCCTCATCCATTCACATCTGCATGACCTGAAGTGGTAAAGAAAGCATCATGGGACTTGGAGTTCAATAGGCCACCAAAATGGGAAGAGGTCAATGAACCCCTCAATCTCCTCCTAAAAGCCAAATGTCAGGCATATTAGAAGATCAATTTCACAAAAAGTAAGTAATTTAGCAAGTCTTTGCCAGTGACAGTGATTATTGCTAGCGGTGATTAGAGTATGAAAACTCTGACAGGCTCGTTGTACCCACGTCAAACAAAAATCAACTTGGGTACAATCAGCCTTCCCATGGATGGTTCGAATCTTAGCCAGTTCCTGCTGAACAGGCCAAGATTCGGACCACCTATGGCCGGCTTAACTGGCTGTTTAATCAGGGAATTCCAATTCCTGGATCTGCCTCCCCCACTCGGTTTCCTGCAAGAGAAATCCAGAAGGTGCCAAAAGTGGCTCAAAATATTGCTCTGCCCTTTTATAATATAAACCTTAAAAATATAGATTTTGGTTTTCTTAAAAATAAATAAAATAAAAAAAAAGCTCAGAATCACAATGTGGTGACTGCCCTGGAAGTAGTATACAGCCTGTCAGTTGGATAACTGGTACTTTCATCATAGGCTCTCTTTGGTAACTAAACTGACGACAGATTTCCATCAATTCCTTGACATGGCAAAGTGATAATATGGAGTCCAGTGTCTGACACAGCCAAAAAAAAATAATTGTCATTGGCTGGCACAGGATGACGTCACACCTCCACATGTACAAGAGTGCAGTCATCCCAGCACACAGGCGCTGTGACAGAATGTAAACTGGGCTGTGCTTGCACAGCACATTGTACATTCCAAAAGGACACTGCAAGCAGGCAGGTAGGTTTCTTTTACTGCAGAAGAGATATTGCATGTCTCTCTGCAATAAGGCAACTGCCTGCTCACAGTTTTTTAAATTGGGACTTTAGCTCTGTGTTACTTTATTTTCAAAATAGTGACAGTTAATTTCAGGCTATGAGACTTGAAAATTACACTCAAATGCATAAAATATCAAATTCTGGCATTAAAGCTTTTGGTACTGAGTCTATATAAACTGTGCCAAAGACGAAGCTGGGTGAATTATCAGATAAAATTAGCCTTTGTTGGCAGGAAAGCTAGGTCTACTTCAGATAGCTTTGTACACCGAGTCTGGGTTCACATACAGTTGTGACCAAAATTATTCAACCCCCAATGCTGTAAAGGGGTTTAGGGACTATAGTGTACATTTGGAATTGTATTCAGAATCAAATCCTACAAGGACGTTGTAACTACCCAAATGCAACTAAAATGACATCAATTGTTTATGTAATACAGTAGTAAATGGTTCTTATGTGGTTTCTTCATTGCCACAATTATTCAACCCCTTAAAGACTACCACTCTGAAGAACAGAGGTTCATACAGGTGCTTTCCATCAGGTATTGAAAACACCTGTGGATGTCACCGAGCAGCAATCAAGCATAATAAGCACCAATTAGGCAGCTTTAAAATGACTGTGATACTCAGCTCCTTCTAGACATTTACTGCATGGTGAAGGCAAGAGAATGGTCCAGGAAGACAAGAGAAGAGGTGATTTCTCTTCACAGGAAGGGCAATGGCTATAAGAAGATTGCAAAGATGTTAAACATACCAAGAGACACCTTAGGAAGCATCATTCGCAAATTCAAGGCAAAGGGCACTGTTGTTGAAACGCTACCTGGTCGTGGCAGAAAGAAGATGCTGACTTCGACTGCTGTGCGCTACCTGAAGCGTAGAGTGGAGAGAAGTCCCCGTGTGACTGCTGAGGAAACTGAGAAAAGATTTGTCAGATGTGGGTACAGAAGTTTCAGCCCAGACAATAAGACGCACACTGCGTAATGAAGGCCTCCGTGCCAGAACTCCCAGGCGTACCCCTTGCTGTCTCCAAAGAAAAGAAAGAGTATGCCAAAAGCCATGTGGACAAACCACAAAAGTTGTGGGATAGTGTTCTGTGGACTGATGAAACAAAATTAGAACTGTTTGGGCCCATGGATCAACGCTATGTTTGGAGGAGGAAGAACAAGGCCTTTGATGAAAAGAACACCTTGCCTACTGTGAAGCATGGTGGAGGGTCAATCATGCTTTGGGGCTGTTTTGCTTCTGCAGGTACAGGGAAGCTTCAGCGTGTGCAAGGTACCATGAATTCTCTTCAGTACCAGGAGATATTGGATGGAAACGTGATGCAGTCCGTCACACACCTGAGGCTTGGGAGACGTTGGACCTTTCAACAGGACAATGATCCCAAGCATACCTCCAAGTCCACTAGAGCATGGTTGCAGAGGAAAGGCTGGAACATTTTGGAGTGGCCATCGCAGTCACCAGACTTAAATCCGATTGAGAACCTCTGGTGGGACTTAAAGAAAGCAGTTGCAGTGCGCAAGCCTAAGAATGTGACTGAACTGGAGGCCTTTGCCCATGAAGAATGGGCGAAGATACCCGTAGATCGCTGCAAGACAGACACTTGTGTCAAGCTATGCTTCACGTTTAAAAGCTGTTATAACTGTAAAAGGATGCTGTACTAAGTACTAAGATTGAATGTCACTTGGGGGTTGAATAAAACTGATAATGCTGTGAGCACAGAAAAGACATTTGTGGTTATTTCATTATAACTGTTATGTTATATTTGTCTGACCTACAAGTGCCTCTTTAATGTAAATGTAAGCAAGATGACTGAATGATCAAAAGCAATGTCAAACTGGCCAAAACACTCAATTTCAGTGGGGGTTGAATAATTTGGTCACAACTGTATATGCGGTGCGGTATATCACGTGATTCGCACAGGAACCGCACTCCTGTCCAAATCACATTCGAATTGTATGGCTCTAATCGCACCGGACCCGCACCTAAAACGATCAGGACCCTTTTTTGGTCCGCAATAGAATCGGACCGCATGGGTATTCACACCTATGCGATCCAATTCTGCACATCGCACCGAGTTTTGCGGACCGCTTTCGGGGTGTTAACATACACACCGTGCAGAGGTTCGCATGAACGGGGTGCGAATTTAATGCGGTGTGGAATTCGCACAGAAAACACTGCAAATTCTGCACCACATCAGTGTGAACCAGGGTTAAGGTGTAACTTAACTTGAGGGGTCAAGTTTATCACATAGCATATTTTCTCTTGAACTTTGTTTTATTAATACTTTGACATAAACAGGGAAATAAGAACAACATGACACAAGTAAAATGTACATTAGAAACTATTCAACTCTAAGTTAAAACAGGACCTCCCAGTTCTTAAGATTCTGTAAAAAGAAAGAAAAAGGAAACAAAAAAAACACAAACACACAAAAAACCACCAAAAGATTAGGACAAGACTTTCCAGCCAACAACTTATATTAGTGGCAATAAAGAGAACCATATAATATGTGAAAGATAGGTGATGAAAAACAGCCCACACAAACAGCCATCGTAAACTGAACCCAAGTGACATGGCCTTTGTTCAGTTTAACCTCACACTGTAGAAACTGGGTTATTGCACAATGATGGCTTTGAAACTGCAGCGTGCTCCACGCTGTAATCATCACATTCTGTAATTTTCTACTCTTAAAATAAAACCCAACTGGTTGCTACAGAAATCACCTCTGTCTTTGTCTATTCTCTTCACATTTATACAAGCGACCCATAGAGAGAAAGACAAATGGTAAACCAAAAACTGCTAGAATGATTCTGAAGTCTAAACATTTACCGGATGATGAAGATGTGCTCATTCGGCTTACAGAAGCCTTTCCGGGCCTTGGAGAGGTTGCTGTAGAACTCAAATATCCTGCTTGGCGCTGATAGTCCAAGAGTTGCTCAGAACGGGTCATACCAACCGTTGGCTTCACTGACTCCAACCTCTTTAATAAAGCCTGTAAGACAATTAAACATTACTGACATAGTTAGCATAGATCAGAGGTCGTCAAACACGGCCTGCCAAAGTCATTTATCTGGCCCACTGGGCCGGCTGAAAAAAAAAAAAAATCCCTCACAGTGCCGCATCGGCAAATAGCTAGGCTGCTTGCTGGGTCCTCGGCTGCAAGGACCCAGCAAGTGGCAGCCTGGTGAAGACTCACCCCCTGATTTCACCCTCTGCAGCTAGAGGAGCAACAGGAGAGGAGGAGGAGAGCACACCAGGCACAGTGAATTGTGGTGTCAAGTACATTACAGTGTACAGTACATTTTGGTGTCCAGTGCTTTACAGTGTACAGTGCATTTTACATTTTGTATTGTTTTTTTCTTTTTTTTTTGCACTACAAATAAGATATGTGCAGTGTGCATTGGAATCTGTTCATATTTTTTTTCAAACTGTAGTCCGGGCCCCGCAACAGTGTGAAGGTCCGTGAACTGGCCCCATTTAAAAAGTTTGAGGACCCCTGGCATAGATGGCCTAGGTAAAAACTAGAAATCTACTTGGCTTTGGAAAATACATCCTCCTGATGGGAAAAGTACACAAAACAGCATTGGATAATTTAATACTATTTGAGAAAGTAACACTCTGGTATCTACAATGTATAATAAAGCAAAATGTTTCATATATTATCATTAAAAAATGTAGGGGTCTGTTTTTAACACATTTTTAGGACAAATGTCACAAGCATTCATCCAGGCTGCACAAATTTTGCCCCCTTTTCTTTTACAACTATGACTTACTATGATCATCAGCTCCATCTGAAAGCCAAAATGCAATATATTTTTCTGATTAAGGTATTTCGGAAATATGTACAGCATTCTGACCATTAGATGGAGCGGACAATCGTAGGGAATCACAACATTAGAGAAAATATGGGGAAAATGTGTGCAACCTGGATGAATGCCTGTGACATCTGTCCAATTAATTTTTTTATAAAAACAGACCCGTAACAGTGGGCACCTCCACACAACTAAACCACCGATTAGATTTTCTGCAAACCACCACAAATAATGGAGCACTTGGATAAACAAACAGCAACTACAGATGCCAGTTATGCCTACCTTCTGAGTGTTATTATTGGCTCGGCTCTGTGGTGGGCTGATTTGCATACCTATAGCTAGGATTGGGAGGCAGGAGGGTTTGGGCTTAGCTAACAGTCATGGAAACTGGTTGCAGATCTAAATGCTGCAGGGACATCAGGGAAAAAGAAAAAAAAAAAGATTTAAAAAAAAAAAGTGCATTTAGATGTGGATGAGGTCCAGCTTAATTCTGGAATGGAGCTTTGATACCTGGTTTAGATCCACTTAGGTGTTAAGCAGGAAGGAAAAAGAGTGCTTAGTGGAGTTATTTTTTTTTTTTTTTTAAGCCAGAGATGCTGTGACAATTGTGTTTTTTGTAGAGTTTCCTGAGCGACTTCCCATGTGTCTGCTATACTTTTTGCTATACTTTTATCACTATGAGCCAATTACTACAAAATAATAATCACAGCACAGTTGCACAATCCATTTGATTAAAAGACCTTGACTGCAAAGTAGTTACAATGCTTATGACAATGACAGTAGAAACCAATTATTTATCTACATGCTGGGCATTTCTTGATCAGTTAGCTTGGCTGGAGTTCCTCAGCTGGTAGCAGGAGCTGTGACAAATGTCCCCAATGTTTCAGTTTTCTTGGTAGATATGTCAGCAGGTGACACAGATGTAAGATTTTGCATTAACTTGTCAAAAGCAGCTTTCACCAATGATGGATGAATCATCAGCAATGAAACAGGCTATTATTGTTTTTACATGGCATATGAAATGCCGTCCTACAAAGACCTTCATTTTTAAAGAAAGCTCCAATGTGATAATCTAGCAGTGTAATGGCTCCTCTATAGAGCAATTCTGGGCAACACTTTCTGTGATTCACAACAAGCTTTCTGCCACCTGCATTAAATCACATTTTCATTTCCTAGGACAACCTAAAAATGTTTTCTTTCTTCCAAGCACTTCAATAGGGAAGTAGGGACAAAGCTCTTTTCCCCCCCATACGTTTCCTGTGGGTCACAGAAGTGCAGTTCAGTCTGGACTCCTGTGACCTGTAATCAACTGACAGAAGGCTAAAGTCTGCTATCGGCTGATGTCATTGAGCCGGTCCAGGCTCTGGAGAGATCCTGACTTTAAAGTCATGATCCACCCAGACACCTGAACCAACATCTCCCAGAATATGCAGGCAACACAAAAAGCCACACTTCCATCAAACCAGGAATGGTCAATTAAGTTTATTCCCTCATAAACTGAACACATATATACATAGAGCGCCTGCTGCCAGATCTTGCTCTTCGTTTTCAAAGGAATTTCACCCCAGACAGGGCTTAATTATAGTGGTCACATGACAGTCAGGAAGCTAGGTTTGCAGATGCAGATCCTCAATGCTATAGGCCATGCCATCAAAGTTAGTGACTGTGAAGCAGGTTGGAACACAGGACATTTAGAGATCAGGTCCAGTTGGTCTGGTAAGGCCCTTTAAAAAGGTGGTTTTGCCCCGTGGCCCAGTCCGCTTCTGGTAGCAACCCTTTACTTGAGGAACATGGCTCTATAAGGTCTGGACAGTCCAAAGTAAGTTGGCTAATAGAGTTTGTGCCGAGTGTTCTTTTAGAAGTGGGTCTTCTGCATATCTCACTATGGGGATGCCCTAATAGCAAAATAGAACAAGCAAAATGGCTAATGCCTTGGAGAAAACTCAGGATACAATGGATTAGACCGAAAGGAAGCGTAACAAATTGGTAATGGGTGGCCACGCAAAACACAGGCAGTGTTGATCTGAGAGAAAAATGAGCACATATTGGCATCTCTGATATCCATGGAGGCCAGAAAGTCACCTGGAAGGAAGCAATCTCTGACCCATCAGATTCCACATGAAATTTCTGTATCAGAGGAATATATTAAAAACCTCTAGATTCAAGATGGGGTGAATGCATCCTTTTGCTTTGGGAACAGTGAACAGGTTTGAGTAAAAACCCTGGAAACTCTTCTGTTCCGAAACAACAGTCAAGACCCTTTGTGAATATTATTATTATTATTATGCAGTATTTATATAGCGTCAAAGGGTTTGCTCAGCGCTTTACAATAGCGAGGGGGACAGAACATGAGACAAAACAGTAACAATACAATACACGAGGGGTTCGAGGGCCCTGCTCTTTCGAGTTTACAATCTAGGAGGGACGGGATAGTGGTACAGGAGGAAGTGGCTGTGGGGGATGGAGTGGTGAGAGAAGTGGAGGAGATCAGTTGTTAAGTGAGGGTGGGGTAGACTTCCCTGAAGAGATGGGTTTTCAGGGAGCGCCTGAAGCTGAGGAGGGTAGGTGACAGTCTGATGGATTGGGGTTGGGAGTTCCAGAGGAAGGGGGGAAGTCCTGGAGAAGTCCTGCAGTCGGGCGTGGGAGGAGGAGACCAGGGAGCTAGAGAATAGGAGGTCCTGTGAGGAGCGAAGGGCACGGGTAGGGTGGTATTTGGGTATCAGGTCAGTTAGGTAGTTTGGGGTGACGTTGTGAATGGCTTCGTAGGTCAGAGTTAGTAATTTGAATGTGATGTGCTGGGCAATTGGAAGCCAGTGAAGGGATAGGCAGAGGGGGGTGGCAGATGTGGAGCGGTTGGTGAGGTGGCTGAGTCTAGCCGCTGAGTTCAGGATAGACTGGAGTGGGGATAGCGTTTGTTTGGGTAGGCCAGTGAAAAGGGAGTTGCAGTAGTCTAGGCGTGAGATGATGAGGGAGTGTACGAGTTGTTTAGTAGTGTCTGTGGTGAGGAATGTACATATCTTGGAGATGTTGCAGAGGTGGAGCCTGCATGACTTTGATAGTGATTGGACATGGGGTTGGAAGGAAAGGTTTGAGTCCAGGGTGACACCCAGGACTTTGGTGTGTGGGGTGGGATTGATGGTGGCGTTGCTAGCAGTGATGGAGAGGATGGGGGGGGTGCGGGCTGGGGGGAAAACCAGGAGCTCGGTTTTCGACAGGTTTAACTTGAGGAAATGGAGCGACATCCAGTCTGATATGTCGTTCAGGAGGTGGGCAATGTGGGCGGAGAGTGAGGGGGTGAGGTGAGGGTGGAGAGGTAAATTTGTGTGCCATCGGCATAGAGGTGATAGTCGAAGCCGTGGGAGTGCCAAGGGAGGAGGTGTAGATGGAGAAGAGGAGGGGTCTGAGGACGGAGCCTTGGGGGACTCCAACAGAGAGGGGGAAAGAGGGGGAGGTGGCAGCGTTACAGGTGGCGCTGAAGGAGTGTTGGGATAGGTAGGAGGAGAACCAGAGAGAGCAGCGTCCCTGATGCCAAAGGAGTGCAGTTTGGTAAGGAGGAGGGGGTGGTCGACTGTGTCGAAGGCCGCGGAGAGTTCGAGGAGCAGGAAGACTGAGTAATGGCCATTAGCTTTGGTGGTTAGCAGGTCGTTAGTGATTTTAAGTAGGGCGGTTTCGGTGGAGTGTAGGGGACGGAAGCCAGACTGTAGTGGATCAAGGAGGTTGTTATCAGTGAGGTGGGCGCTGAGGCGATTGTAGGCCAAGCGCTCAAGGAGCTTGGAAGTGAGTGGTAGGAGGGAGATGGGTCTAAGTTTGTTTAGGTCAGTGGGGTCAATGGAGGGGTTTTTGAGTATGGGGGTGATGTGTGTGTGCTTTAGGGGGGAGGGGAATGTGCCAGTAGAGAGGGAGAGATTGAAGATGTGGGTGAGGGAGTGAATAATGGAGGAGGGGGGTGACTGCAGGAGTTGTGAGGGGATAGGGAATAGAGCAGAACCAGCGCGGAGTAAAGGCCAACTAGTCTTAGTAGGGATGTAGTAGGGATGCTTGCAGGCTGAACATGTGGAGGGGTAGAGATAGAGCTTGAATTTCTATATTGTATCCCCTGGTACTCACATTCTGTACACATCCTGGGACCAGGAAGCAGCAAGGCCAACCAATGGCCTCTCACTGTGATAAGTTGGGACTC